GGGGACTGTCTATCTTCACTGAAATGGCCCACGGGTGCCAACTTTGGTTTGGTGAAAATGTGAGTGGAAGGTGTGGGAATGTTTAATGTGGATCAATAATAACGTATGATGTCATCATGTGATAAAAACAGACAGGCAGCAGTTCATCATTTCCTGAAAACATTCCTGTTTCCTCTCTTTAACATGGATCAATAACATCCTCCCTCAACATCAGTGTGTGTGTGTGTGTGTGTGTGTGTGTGTGTGTGTGTGTGTGTGTGTGTGTGTGTGTGTTTATTTCAGCATTGGGGTAACAGTTGGACTGGCCCTCAAATTCAAACCACTTCCTGGAAAAGGAGAGAGAGAAAAAAAGAGCTTTGCTTGACCAGAGGGACACTTGTCCAAAATCAGCAGCAGCATGAGCCAAATCCTCACACTACACTACATACACACGCACACACACACACACACACACACTCACACACAACAGTACAGCTGTCTTGCTGCAATGTCCTCTGCCGAAAAAAACACATTTCTCAGATTTTAAAGGATTTATAAACTTTACCGGAAGCCTATAGAGTTACATTTAAGTGCACAAAATAATAATATTTTAATAAACCTGTACATTCACTCTGTGTTAGTGCTGAAATATTTTTTTGTTTTATCTACATTTTTGTTAACTTAACTAAACATTTATCAAGCAAAAATGTTTCACACCGCTCTAAAACAATTTCTCCAGTTTGAGGATTTAGTGCTTTTCTATAATTGTAGATTGAATATTTTAAAATCTTTATTGGGAGGTTGACTGTTTGCTGGACAGAACAAGCAATGTGAGGATGTCCCCTTGCGTTCTGAAAACTTTTTCCTTCCCTCTTCTTTCATTTTAAAGACTAAGTTATTATTGAAAACAATATCAATAGAATATTTAATAATGAAAATAATGGTTGTAGTATTAGTCTACATAATGCTAAATAATCACGCATGCTATGGCATGGTGTTTTTATTGGGGGGGGGGGGGGGGGGGGGTCCTTCAAACCAATCATTTTATTTTTTCAACTATTGCTTAGTTTGTCAGTGAACAGAGATTTAAACTCCCCACTTTATTTTGTACTTCACAAATGTGGGTAAATTAACCACATAAACGCAAAGCATTTTGGGTAATAAAGAGTTAAGAAATTAAGATCAAATAAATTAGGACTTTCGGGGTATTTTATAAGAAAACAAATCAAAATAATGAACGCTTCTCTCCGTTTCATAAAGGCGGAAGAAGTCGGTTTAATCAGCTTATGATTTATTTACTACAACTGTGCTGGAGCTGTGGACACGCGGAACAGCGCGGATAAAGAAAAGGAGACAAAAAAAAGCCAGAGAGAGAAAGCATCAAACCACTGCTCCTTTTCATGCACCAGCAGAGGAGAAAGAAACCGCTAAGTCAGGGTGGGTGTGTGTTGCCTTATATCTGTGTTGTCCCCGCCTCATATGTGACAGCTTGCAGCCGTGATGGGACCCCATGGGAGCGGGGAGCGGATTCACTAACCTGCCGGTGTCTGAGACCGACGCGCGCCTCCAATCTGGTGGTCACATGGGGTGAGGAGGAGGAGGAGGAGGAGAGGGAGGGGGGGTGTCGGCGATGATGAGAGGGGGGTTAGTTAGATTATTATGGAGCTGTCGGGGCCGTCGCGCGGGGCAAACTGTTGTGAGGAGTGGAGCTATAAAAGTGCACACAATGGCATTTCACGCATGTTAAGGTGAAAAGTGCGCACAATGGCGCCTCACGCGCCTTGAAGTTTTTTTGCGTCACGCTGCTCTGACTATTGTATACAATTACCAGGGACTATTAGATAGTCATTATGCTCTAAATGATGGATGTTCAACGACGAGACGTTGTTCGTGCTCAATAATAATACCAACAATAATAATAATAATAGAAGATTTTAATTATATTTTATTATATTCTTCATCCACTAATTTTCTTATTTGAAAGGCAACATAAAAATATATTTTCATGGTGGCGGTGTATCTGCAAAGATTGTTTGGGGATTTTGACTGAAGGGCAAAGTGATGAAAATTCCAGACTTTAATAATAACAATGTTTTGCAATAATAGAAATAAATTGAGGCCTCTAAGGAATTCAAATTATTTTCACAATAAAAGCACCACCAGCAGAAGGAGATATTACCAATTATATAAAAAAAATAACAATAATGTAATTACAACAATAAATAATAATGATAAAAAATAGTATTATCATTTGGTTATTTTGTCAGTTTCATCAATTAATTTCGTCCTATCAAAATATGTGCACCATACCAATGATAAATCTAATAAATCAATGAATGAATGATACAAATTTAATTTGTGATGACAATAAAAAGTGAAAGGTTGAACAACAAATCTGTAAAAAAAAGAAAAAAGAAAAAGAAAAAGTGGAGCTGTGGAGGTGAGAAACAAATCCAGTCAAGAAAGGGAGTTGAGAAGAAAAACACCGAGCCGCTCCACATAATAACCCCATTATAAGCCTCATCAATGATGTAATGAAAGCAAACAGTGTGAAAATTGCCTGTAAACAGTTGGATCTGAGTCTCCTGATGAATTCAGTGTCTCTTTTATCAAAGTGAGGATGAGCCAGGCAAGAGAGAGGGGAGGATGGGAGAGGCAGGGAGGGGGGGGGCAGAGTGAGGCAGAGTGAGTGGGCGTGTAGGGAGGTCCACTTCCAGCTCCCCTCAGCCAATGAAGGCTTGTCACAGGGGACTCACGTGGACGAGGCGCTCTTAAAACCTAGCTCCTGACTTTTCCTCAAGTTCAATTTTTTGGGATTCCCTCCCACCCCCATCGCATCTTGTCCTCTTACTTGCCAGTTGTGGCTATTTAACCCAGTTTACCTCTCCTTTTTTTTTCTCCGATTGTGAGTCTCGCATCACATCGTCCCGCGTCTTCCTCGTCTGCTGCTTTATTTTTGCTGCTGCGGCTCTCGGACTCCTCGCTCTCGCTCTGCTTCGAGTATATATTATTTTTGGTCAAGGTTTTGTTGCTCTACTTGAAGGAATGCGAACACTTTCCATCCGTCTTCTGTGTGGCCACATGACGAAGCTGCCCTGACCGTTTTCCTCCGGTCCTCTCTCTCAGGTCTGACGCGTAGCTGTCCATGGTGCTGAAACGCTTTCTTACCCTCCGAACAGACCGGTGCGCTGCTGCTCCCAAACATCCACAAATACAGTCCGTATTTTCTGCATCTTTTCGCGTCTTGCTGGTGAGTGCGTTTCAGCAATAGCCAGTCAGTCTTCCCGGCGAGCCTTCTGAACTCAACAACAGACGGAGTTGGTGTTAAAGGAAGCAAAAGAAGAATCGACTGCGACTCTCCCAAAAGAGACGATCGATTTCAGGAGGACACAAATTTCGAGACTTGACAAAAAAAAGAACAACTACAAAATCATGCATGGACGATTGCTGTAACACAACTTAGCCTGGAGATATTTGCTCTTTAAAGAACCAGTTGGGCAACTGGAAATAGCGGATGAATAATCTTTATTTGTAGCATATCCAAAAACATTTTTCTCGGGCGGGGGGCTCTTTCTCCTCTGCTGGATCAACTTAGACAACCCCCCTCCCTCCCTCCCTCCCTTAAATAAAACTTGTCCTGAATACCAAATGTTAGTTTGAGGAGGCCTCGACCAAGACAATGGAGGCGTCCGCCAACGGGTCCAGTTTTGGCATCGACTCGCTGCTGTCCCGCAGGCCTGGAAGCCCGGTGTCCAAAGGGGACAGCCTGGTGGGGGAGTGCCGCTCGCCGCTGGAGTTCAGCCCGAGATCAGACGCGGAGAGCGGCTGCTCGTCGCCTCCGTCGCCGCGAAGGGAGTGCGCGGACGAGGTGGCCCAGAGGCAAGGTCACGGCGTCGGCCTGCCGCCGCACCTGCAACACGCGCAGATATCGGCGGGTTCGCAACAGAGGACCGTGACCTCGTCGTTCCTCATCAGAGACATTCTCGCGGACTGTAAGCCCCTCGCCGCGTGCGCGCCCTACTCCAGCAATGGACAGCCGACTCAGGAGGCGGGCAGGCTGGTCTCCAAGATAGCAGAAGACTTTATGGAGAAAATCCACAGCAACTCGTCGTCAGACAGTGAATATAAAGGTAAGGAGAGAGTAGACAGTGCTCTGCGGGGGAGAGGAGATTGGAGGTGAAACTGAGTTAGCCTTCTGCTTTCACACGGGACTTTTGGCTCTTGTAGAAAAATATTCCCATTAGCCTATCTAGCTCGTCCTTTTGCTATTCTATATTTGTCCTGTCTAGGTCCATCTTTGTACAATGTTTAGCTGCAGCTGGTCTGGTTTTGGTGCTTCTTTGTCCGTTTTTTAAAAAGTATTTTTAAAATTTCAAATTCGGACAAACTTCGTTAAATAGCAATTCAATAATAAATGCAAGAAAATAAAAAATAAAAACAATCAGAGGTGTACTAAATACAATAAGTAGTGCAATCTGGTGTAATGCATGACGTTGGAATAGCAATAGATTTAAATGACATTGAAAGCCAAACTGCAATTTATAATGTAAGCACAATGGATGCATTTAGATGAGCTGATGACAATGAAAAATAAAAAAACACAAAGACATATAAATATAATAAAAACAGGTATACGCTTATAAAAAAATTGTAGGCCTTTTTTTCAGAGGACTTCCTAATAATAATAATAATATGTAGCTTTAATGTAGAAGAATAATATTTTCTAGCTCGGCTTGAACAATATTGGGGGAAAAGTGACAAAAATATCTTCGTCAATAAACTGACACTATTTCATTAGCCGGCCACCGGAGGCCATCAATGAGGGCAAATTGAGCCGGCCCTCTGCTGCAGCATCACTGTGGTGGAAACCTGAGATTTGTCCCTGCGCGGTGACAGACTATTGGGTTCATTTTCAATAAGTTTATCCATTTTGAATCAGCACGGGCGCGTTTCAAAGCCTTCACGTGAGCGGAATATCCAGAAAGCATCTGTTAATGTCAGGGAGGCAAGAACGGGAGAGATGACAGGGTCGCCTCCAGATAAATGCCATCAAGGGCCTCTCTGTTTCCAATCATGTCAGCCATAACAGACATGTCACCTACATTGACAGTTTAATGAAGCAGCGCCTGTAAGGACGACGACCGCTGTAGGCTATGAGGGGAAATATAACATCGAATTCAATACATGTGAGGATGCATTATTAATATTATGATTTCAATATTTACTGTTTTATTTTGTTTTATTCACTCATGGACTCACATTAGTTTTATTCCTTGTTCACTTTTCTTGGAAGCTATTGATACGGCGTCACGTCATCAATTTGTTCGACAAAAACTCAGTGTGTGTGTGTGCACGCGCGCGTGTGTGTGTGTGTGTCCGCGCGCGCGCTCATGTGTGTCACGGTGGTGGCTGGAGATGCTCATCGACGCGCTGATTGATTGAGGGAGCCGCGGGGCCCCACGGCGCGCCTGCACGGTGGCTTTGATTTCCACGAATCCGCCTCCTAATATTTCGGGGGATTTGATGCAATTTGTCCCTGGCGCTAATCAGATTTGTAACCGCGCAAGGCCGCGCGGGCTCTTGATTTCCACTCATTTCCACGGTCCTGTGAAGTTCCCCCGGTCGCGGTTGAAAGGCTCGTCCTTCCCTTGTGGCTCAATTAGGCGGATTATTGTGCTCCTTGAGACGATTCAACTATTCAACTACCAAGATCTCTCGCCTCGCCCCCCCTCTCTCTTTTCTTGCCTTTCTTTTTTCTCTCTCTCTCAGAGAATTGACTATAAGGACTGTATATCAAGGCTCGCCCTGACATGACACCACGCAGAAAGAGAACAAAGGCTGCGGCTCTGCTGACGGGAGGAATATCAGATTGGAAGTGCGAATATTGGAAGAGCTTTTCATAACAATTTAAGCCCAAATCAAATAGCTCCATATAGCCTATAGGCACTGTTACTAGCGCCGTGATTTCACACTCCGCAGTGGAAACTGTCAATGGCTGTCAAGTGTAGATAAATAGTAAAAAAATAGAAAAAGAAAATCAGACGTGTTTTTAAAAAAACATTTTGACTAAATGTTTGAAGCCTTTTTTGACTCTTTCTATAAAATTCGCATTACGCAAAATGTTCACCTTTGATTCACGTGGTGTTAAATCCAGCGATTTAAAATGACTACAAATAAAATGCGCGGTTTTATTTGACCTCACTTTTTTAACACGGACAAATGACATTTAAAGACAATTGCAGCGCTGCTGTATAGTTCCAGATGTGCAGGCTTTATCGCGTCTTTTGAGAGGGGCAGCAATAATTGGATTATAATTATTATTATATTAAATCCAGCTAATCAATCAAGCAATCAAGCCTTTATTTGGCGCACCTCACACAGGACATGCAGGTCAAATTGTTTCTCATAAAAAACAAAACGAAGATAGAATTGTATTCGAATTCTCTTTTGCCTCTTGATGGCTTGCCTTCATCCAACTAACTTCATGTCATATTTTATTTTCTCCCTTATCGATTCTCTGATCAAAGTAAGCAGCTTCACGCGAATGAAGAGCTACAGGGCAATAAAAGAGACTCACTGTTGTATTTCAGTTGACTCTGATATTTGTCTGCCTTCTGCACAGATTCATTTGTCCACACAAAGATGTCGCGTTACATTACACATGAGGCCACTTCTCTGTTTTCACCTTCTTCTCTCTCCGTTATTTGTCCGACAGTGAAAGAGGAGGGGGACAGGGACATCTCCAGCAGCAGGGACAGTTCTCAGGTCCGGATGAAGAAGCCCAGGAAGGCCCGGACGGCCTTCACGGACCACCAGCTGGCCCAGCTGGAGCGCAGCTTCGAGCGGCAGAAGTACCTGAGCGTCCAGGACCGCATGGAGCTGGCGGCCTCCCTCAACCTCACCGACACGCAGGTCAAGACCTGGTACCAGAACCGGAGGTAAAGACGCTGCTGCTGCTGCTACTTAAGAGGAGGGGGAGGGGGGTAAATCTGGTTTCTCACGGCTGGCTCATGACTCCATGGACCCAGGGACGCCATGTTTTCCTCTCACCCTAAAGGTGGCATGAGTTCACTTTACTTAACTGCACATGAGCCTCTGCCACTAGGGCTGAAACCAAACGCTATTTTAATTATTGATTAATCTGCCGATTTTTTTTCTCCTCGATTAATCGTTTGGTCCATAAAATGTCATCATTTTTGTGGACAAACCCCCAGTTACCCAGAGCACAAAGGGGCACGTGTTAAGATACATTCAGTGGCATTATCACTTTGAACAATTAATCAGGATTTACCTTTCTGTCAATTCAACTAACCCTTCAATTAGTTTCAGCTCTTACTTTCCCTTCACAATAACATAGGCTTTGATTGACAGCTGATTAATTGATCCTATTTATTTTAGCGTCACCGAATTGTCTGGAGAATGGGTTGAATTGGATTTATTTGCAGCTTTATATATATTTCGATTTTTAGCACCTATACTTTAACAGAAAACACAAGATCACATCACGGACACACGTGTTTTCCTTCGGTCCATTCTATTTATTGGGGGTTTGGGACGCTTGTCTGAGTTCATCTCCTCAGTTTTCAGCATCTTCATGCAACACGATTACTTTAGCAGCGTCCGATTTAATTCACACAATGACCCTGCATGTAGCTGGGAAACCGAGCCGTCAACGTTTTGTAAATAAATAACTCCTTGCAAAAGAAACCGTCTTCATCAATGTTAAAAAAAAAGATAAATCGGTTTTCTGCAGTTTTTGGTTGAATTAACTTCAGCATTTATTCTTCCACAGCTTTGACTCCCAGGCAGCTAAATTACATAAATAAATATAAAAACAACACTTTGGCGTATGAATAATGCATTGTTGCATGTGTGCATATCAATAATTCAAACAAACCACTATATCTACTCAATTATCTTTATTATGAATTATTCACCTGCGTGGAGTGCATACGGGCAATCTAACAGACATCCTTGGGTGTGAGTACAAGTGGCAGGTTGGAGACTTTGGTGCTTTAAAAATAAAAATAAATAAACAGATGTATTGCTGATTTGCAATTGGACCCAAGGTAAACAGACGGGAGATATTTCGGCGTGTGTCAGATCCAAACACACACTAATGCTCCGTGTATGTATCGATGCGCGCGTGCTCAAAGCTAAATCAGAGTCTTTCCTCTCTTCCAGGACGAAGTGGAAGAGGCAGACGGCGGTGGGTCTCGAGCTGCTGGCGGAGGCCGGGAACTACTCCGCCCTGCAGAGGATGTTCCCATCCCCGTACTTCTACCCGCAAAGCCTGGTGTCCAACCTGGACCCCGGAGCGGCCCTCTACCTGTACAGAGGCCCCTCGGCGCCCCCGCCGGGCCTGCAGAGACCCCTGGTCCCGCGGATCCTGCTGCACGGCCTGGGGGGCGGTGAGCCGCCTCCGCTGCCTCTACCCCCCATGTCCAGCGTGCTTACTCGGCCGACTCAGCGGTGAGCCGGTCCCTGCTGGCTTCCCTTTTTTTTTGTACGCCGAACTCGGCAGGACTCCTAAGAAGAAATGAAACAAAGACTGATACAAATAAAAACGGGACGAGCCAGAGAAAAATAAAACTGTTGGAGGCCTTTATATGGTGCGAGGCGGCCGATTGAGGCTGAACCCTGGACGGAGAGGAGTGACTCAAACTGACTGTGTTGGAGGATTCTTTCCCTGTTTTTTTTTGTTATTTTTGGGACATGAGCTTTATTTATAACCTATTTATTTTTAATATGAATCAACGCATCTAAGTTATGTATTTATTTGATCCCAGTTTCAGTATTTTTTGTGTTTTTCCCAACAACAGATATAATTGTTGGTGGAACTTTGACCAACAGTTCAATGCCAATTAGACTCCCTGGTATTATTATTATTATTATTATTATTATTATTATTATTATTATTATTATTATATCATTATTATTACTACGTGGATGTTCATGGATATTGGCAAAGTAGCATCCTTCCATGTAATATGAATATAATAGAGGATCCAAAGGTATTAGTAAATATTTCTTTTTTTGCCCTTTCTAAATCCGTCTTGACTTTTCTTTCCACGTGAAGAACAAGATGATCAGCAGTCATAAACCTGTAAATAAGAATATTTTGCATTTTATTCGAAAGAGACTGATTTTAAAAGAAACCTTTTCGTTTTGTTCGTTTGTTTGATCTATTTTGTCCGTCTTTTTCAGACCGCGGAGATCCAGTTTAACATAATAAACTAGATTAGCCGATCAGAAACTATACAGGAGAACGAGTCAGAATAATAATGAAAAATATTAATAAACATATTAGTCTGAGAAGGGAAGCCTGGACCCAGATAGAGGCACAAACACGAGAGCTGCGGGGGGGGGGGGGGGGGGGGGGGAGAAAAAGAAAAATTTTTTTTTTTTTTTTTTTTTTTGTTGTTCGGGTGGAAGAGGAA